GGGGTTGGGCTTCTCCCCCCCACACCACTGGTCTCGGGGTGCCCCGGATGCTGGAGATGCTGCAGAGGGGCGAGCCGGGGGGCTCGATCAGGTGCCCGGCCCCGGGGTAGGAGAGCAGACGGCAGCTCTCCAGCGGCATCCGCGCCATGGCCAGCTCGGCAAAGAGCTTGCTGTTGAAGCTGCGGTCGGATTCCCCCACCACGAAGAGGACCTTGCCCCGGATCTTCTCGGCCGGGATGGCCGAGGCACCGTAGGCGGGGTCCCGGGGGTCGGCAAAGATGGCCGAGTTGTCCAAGGCCCCCAGCTCCGTGAAGATGACGCGCTCGGTGTAGTAGGGGATGGGGGGGATGCGGAGGTCCTTGTAGACCAGAGGGTTGCCGTGGAGGAAGGCCGTGCCGTTGATCCACACCGTGGCCACCACCTGCGGCAGGAAGGCGGCCATGGCCAGGGCCACCTCCGCTCCTTTGGAGACGCCGACAACGCCCAGGCCGGGGCCTCGCACCTGCAGCGGGGGAGAAGCGGAGCCAGCTGGCAGCACCGCTCACCGGGACGTCACCAGGATGTCACCAGGATGTCCCCAGTCACGAGGACAACCCGCTCGCTGGGACATCCCTGGTCTCCAGGACACCCTGCTCACTGGGACATCCTCTGGCACCAGGACGTCTCATTTGCTGGGGCATCACTGGTCACCAGGAGATCCTGGTCATCAGGATGTCCCCAGTCATGAGGACAGCCCACTCACTAGGACATCCCTGGTCACCAGGACATCCTGGTCATCAGGATGTCCCCAGTGACAAGGACAACCCACTCACTAGGACATCCCTGCTCACTGGGACATCCTCCGGCACCAGGACATCTCGCTCGCTGGGGCATCACTGGTCACCAGGAGATCCTGGTCATCAGGATGTCCCCAGTCATGAGGACAACCCACTCACTAGGACATCCCTGGTCACCAGGATATCCTTAGGCACCAGGACATCTCGCTCACTGGGGCATCTCTGGTCGCCAGGAGATCCTGGTCATTGGGATGGCCTCAGACACCGGGACATCCCTGCTTGCTGGGACGTCCCTGGTCATCAGGACACCCTGCTCACTGGAATGTCCCCAGTCACTAGGACATCCAGCTCACCAAGGTATCCCTAGTCACCAGGACATCTCTGCTCACCAGGTGGGATGTCCCCAGTCACCAGGACATCCCTGCTCACCAGGACATCTCTGGTCACCAGGACATCTTGCTCTTTGCAATGTCCCCAGTCACTAGGACATCCCTGGTCACCAGGACATCCTGCTCACCAAGACATCACTGGTCACCAGGACATCCCTGGTCACCGGGTGGGATGTCCGGGGTCACCAGGACGTCCCCAGTCACCATGACATCCCACTCACCAGGACATCCCTGGTCACCAGGACATCCTGCTCACCAAGACATCACTGGTCACCAGGACATCCCTGGTCACCGGGTGGGATGTCCGGGGTCACCAGGACGTCCCCAGTCACTAGGACATCCCACTCACCAGGACATCCCTGGTCACCAGGACATCCTGCTCACCAAGACATCACTGGTCACCAGGACATCCCTGGTCACCGGGTGGGATGTCCGGGGTCACCAGGACATCCCACTCACCAGGACATCCCTGGTCACCAGGACATCCTGCTCACCAAGACATCACTGGTCACCAGGACATCCCTGCTCACCGGGTGGGACGTCCCCGGTCACCAGGATGTCCCCAGTCACCAGGACATCCCTGGTCACCAGGACATCCTGCTCACCAAGACATCACTGGTCACCAGGACATCCCTGGTCACCGGGTGGGATGTCCGGGGTCACCAGGACGTCCCCAGTCACTAGGACATCCCACTCACCAGGACATCCCTGGTCACCAGGACATCCTGCTCACCAAGACATCACTGGTCACCAGGACATCCCTGGTCACCGGGTGGGATGTCCGGGGTCACCAGGACATCCCACTCACCAGGACATCCCTGGTCACCAGGACATCCTGCTCACCAAGACATCACTGGTCACCAGGACATCCCTGCTCACCGGGTGGGACGTCCCCGGTCACCAGGATGTCCCCAGTCACCAGGACATCCCTGGTCACCAGGACATCCTGCTCACCAAGACATCACTGGTCACCAGGACATCCCTGGTCACCGGGTGGGATGTCCGGGGTCACCAGGACGTCCCCAGCCACCAGGACATCCCACTCACCAGGACATCCCTGGTCACCAGGACATCCTGCTCACCAAGACATCACTGGTCACCAGGACATCCCTGCTCACCGGGTGGGACGTCCCCGGTCACCAGGATGTCCCCAGTCACCGGGACATCCCACTCACCAGGACATCCCTGGTCACCAGGACATCCTGCTCACCAAGACATCACTGGTCACCAGGACATCCCTGGTCACCGGGTGGGACGTCCCCGGTCACCAGGATGTCCCCAGTCACCAGGACATCCCTGGTCACCAGGACATCCTGCTCACCAAGACATCACTGGTCACCAGGACATCCCTGGTCACCGGGTGGGATGTCCGGGGTCACCAGGACGTCCCCAGTCACTAGGACATCCCACTCACCAGGACATCCCTGGTCACCAGGACATCCTGCTCACCAAGACATCACTGGTCACCAGGACGTCCCCAGTCACCAGGACATCCCTGGTCACCAGGACAATACCTGCCCACCAGTACATCCCTCTCACTGGGACGTCCCCAGGACATCCCTGCTCACCGGGACGTCCCTGCTCGCAGGGGCCACCCACCGCCACGCCGCGGGGCTCACCTTGGGGT